AAGTTTATATTCAAACAAAAAGAATAGTGGTTGCTCTTTAAATTGCCTAATGCTATTACACTTAAATAAATTTAAAATGTTTTCTGATTTTCATAATTGAATTCATCACCCCAATACGTACACATTTTCTCATGTTTTCTTTTGATTGTTATCTATTTAAATGCATATTTTGAGACATTTGTAATTTTGATGTATTCTCCAAGTCACCTTCTGCCTTCCCACTTAACATTAATATTTTTGCATATTTTAACGTTCTTACCACCTTTGTGATGTTCTGTAATTTTGTGATTTTCTTAATTTTTTGAAACCTCCATTGGGTTATTAGCAGTGCAACCCCCAGAGTGCTCTATTAGGTGTCTTTGTACTTCTCTGATAGACAGCAAGGTAGTAGAGTGCTTGGGAATTATACCTCATTCTGGTGGAAGAGATGATGCTACATCCGGGAGCAGTCAGTCAGTTCTAGGTGTACTCAGGAGAGAAGAAAGGTATGTCCTAGCATGCTAATCTGACAAGCATGTGGAGTGTGTTTGGAGGGTATGTGAGGGTGTGTGGAGAGTGGTGTTTAGCTCCATCCTGCAATTTGATTAACAATTTCTACCTCTTCGCCTTCTTGTAACAGCCTCCCTGATGCCATCTGCTAAGCCTTTGCTTTTCTATTTTGCATATAGCTTTTCCTTTCAATATGCTGCTATTGAGCAAGAAGAAAAAAAAATAAGAAACACCCTTCTTCAGAGATCTTGGCGCTTTTCTTTTGTCTTCTAATGGAGCTTTTTGTTGACCCTTGTTATTGTCAAATACAAGTATAAAGAAATAGTACTGCATCTGAGCCAGGATGCTACCCCTTGAAGAGAAACTAGCAGGTACCAGGAGAGATTTATAGGAGCTTTTCTTCTACCACTTTCCTCTTGGAAAGAAACGGAAATCCATTTTGCAATATCAAATTGAAAATGAGTTGGAAATGTCTTTTACTTTATAACCAGTTCTTCTGGAATAGATGTAAATAAATTAGATGAAATAACAAGGAAGTTGCCTTTGTAACTAAATGTTGATGAATGTGCTGTGAGCTGTGAAGCCAGGATTAGAAATGGGAGATTAAACTAAGGAATGAAAAGGAGGAAATTCTTGGGTACCTTGCCCTCAAGTCTTGGAGACAAGCCATATATATAAGCCAGAGAATTTAGATTTAGAGTTCTCTCTGTCTGTGTGTGTTAATGTATCTGCTCTTACTTGCTATCATTTTTTCAAGTTATGGTTTAGAAGTCCAGGTATGCTTTGGGCTAGAATATGCTTAAGCCAGAGTTTAATGGGGACCAACTGCATCCCCTGGAGGTCAAAACATTGATGAGAAATATCTTAAGAGAAAGGTGTATCAGATGATGGGGCCACACAAAAATTAAAGACCAAATTGTTCAGCAGCCAGTACCAAAAAGAAGATATGCTAGAGTCAGTCCTGAATATTATATAACTTTAATTTTTATTAAATTATCTCATCCTTTTAAAATTATACTCAAAGCCAAAAGAATTCTTTTGAAATATTTAATGTGAAAAATTAAGTGTAACTTAAATGGCATTTTTATGAGCTCTAGGAGCTAGCATACTTAAGAGTATGAGTAAAGGAAGAATTGAATACCCAAAGTTTTATTTGCCTTGACATTTATGAGACAGGCTCAATCATTCAGCCATTCTTTCCCTGAACATTTACTGAGTGTCAGGTATTATAGGCAGTGAGTAGAATACTCTTGTTATCTATGTCCGTTTTTAAAAATTTCAGAATGTTTAGATAAGCAAGGGCTAAGTGTGTGGCTCAAGTGCTTTAAGGCATATGAGTGAGCTATGTACTCAGAGCCTTATCTACACTCTGCCAGTGTGTACATCCCTGGAAACCTCACTTGAGAGGACAGAAGGTGGCTGATACCACCCACATTCTTCTTTTATTATGCCATCATGTCTGAAATTTAGTCATCTTAATCATTTATTTACTATAATTCCACAATTTAAATTCCAAGCAACTATAGCGTATGGTATTTTGACCCTAATGAACCTTGTAAATATCCAAAATGCACAGGATATTTATTCACAGGGCAGCTTCTCTCTATTCAGGCAGATGGATAAAGGAGAGTCCTGGAGCCCTCAGTGGCTTTTTCAGGCTTTAACGCTCTTCCTAAGCCCATTGTTGTGGGTCAAGCCTGCAGGCTGGCAAGGAAGGGAGGCCAGGGGGACCAGGAGTCTGGCAGGCCCCAGTGAATCTTTACTCTCTCTATTTGGGCTCTCTGTTGCTCTCTGTGGTCTCTCCCTCTCATAGTCGTACTTCCACAGCAGTTCTCTTGTCTCTGAGCGCCGCAGCCCTTACTGGCTCAGCCTCCAGGCCCAGGTGCACCCACTCACGCACGCCCACACCACACTCCAGGTGTCCATAATCAGGTACATGTACCCCTCGCCCTCGCCCCCAAGTGCCCTTGCTTTCTAGGCCACAGGTGATAGCCACAGAGGCTAGCAGTGTAAAAACTGACTACCACCTACCCTACACACACCTGCCTATAATATTTATGGAAGGAGAGGAAAGAGTACAAAGCAATGTAACATGTGCAACTATTTGACTACTATGCTAAATTGTTAGTGTTAGAGCCACAGATTGGAACACTAAGAGAAGATGTGTGCTTGACACCAGTTTGCTTTGCAAAACATTTTGCTATGCAAGAATTACTACATTCAAGCTGAGAGGAAGAACTTGACATTTCAACTGATTTGTCTTCTCTCTTAGCAAAGAACTTCTGCTGTTCAAATTCCTCTTGAACTCTAGTCTATTTTTTGGATGAGCAACAATTACCGTCCACATAATTTTTCTGCATTTGGAGCCCACCTTTTTATTTTGAAGACATAGGGCAATAGATATGAAGTGTTTCCCTATTGTGTTCATCATGGGAGAGAGTTTATAGTTGTGGGCCAACTTAAGGATCAGATCAGGTGTGGCAAAGGGACACAGGTGTTTTTAAATAAATCAATTTGTTTGTGTGAAGTCTCTTAAAGGACAGAGTCCATGATAGGGGCCTTCTTTCATACCTCCAATTAGGTGGGGTTTGGTGATGATAAGAATGTAATGCCAAGATCATTTGTAGGGCCAGCTGGATAGTTATTGTTTAAAGATTTCTTCAAGAAAGACAGCACTAGAACAACACTGAGAGAATTGTAGCATATTGCTAAGTTTGACGTTCCCTAAACAAGATAAAAATGACAGTGTTATGAAGTTTTTTTTAAAAAAAGATTTATCTACTTATACATATGAGAACTGGGATATAGACCAGAGGTGTGGGGAGTGAGAGGATCTACCAGAGGCAGACTGGGGAGCAGAATAGGCAGATGTACTGAGACACACTGCTGAAGGGAGCAGGGGGTGAGACAGGAGAGATCTGCTGGCCATGTGGGTCAGCATCCTGGACAGCCTTTGAACCAAAACTCTCTCGCTGCAGTGGCTGGTGATAGCTTGAAAATGCTGTCTTTAGCCCCTATGCCACCAGGAAGGCCTCATGAAGATTTTTTTTTAAAAGATTTATTTGTTTGTACATACAGAACTGGGGTACAGGCCAGAGACTCAGGGGCCATGAGAGGCTTCACCAGAGACAGAGTGGGGAACAGAACAGGCAGATCGACGAAGTACACTGCTGAGGGGAGCAGCGGGCGGGTCAGGAGAGGTCTGCCACACCCTGTGGTCACCTCGGGGCAGGCGGGGATCGAACTCATGCAGAAGTGGCTTTAGCTTCTTAGTGCTGTGCTTTAACCCGCTGTGCCACCAGGGAGGGCCCCCCCATGAAGATTTTTTAACGAAAGAAATTCGTAAACCTATACAAAAACCTTTAGAGGTATAGTCGACCACCTTTTTTCCACTATCCAGGTTCAACAATTGCCAACGCATAGTCAATGTTTCATCTATCCCTCCACTCATCCCTCTTGCCTCAATGAATTATTTTAAAGCAAATTCTAAATGTTTTTATTGTCCCTGAAATCTTATATATTTCTAAAAAATATTCTCAAGACGTCATAACCATAAAGTCATCTAACTCAACATGAGTGTCATGCGCGTGAAGCGATGAAGAAACTGTTCAAAGTGTTCCTTGTTTTCGATGGTACGAGATCAGAGGCGGTGTGACATTACATATAAAGCTATACCAGATCTGTTTATGGGGCTTGGCGAAAAGAACTGCACACTGGACCAGGCTGAGCCGGTGGCAATGAACTTGAGCCCTGTCTTCCCTCCGGCTTCCCTCCACCCCACCCGCCCCCCAAACTTTAGCAAAGCTCGGCGTGGGAAGGGGATTTAGTTTCTGGCAGGCTGTGGCGTGCTTAAACTTGCCTTTTCCCGAAAGGCACAGTTTGCTAAGAGAACCATGGGCACACATGAACAAATCCTGAAAGACACATTCTTTATTGACTGCCAAGGTCAGGAAAATTCCTTGGTTTCAGGTCCCGTTCCCGCTGTCGGCGGCGCTAGCCGGTTCGCGGCGGGCGAGCTGGAGGTCGGTGGCTCCGCCGGGGGTTGGGTGCCTGGGTCTCTCGTCGCTCCAGAGGCTTAGAGCAACACTGGGCGTTTCCTCCTTTTCCGGCCTCGGAAAGTTTTGTTTTGGTTCCTAGTTCCCAGTCAAGGAAAGGCACCCTGTTGACCAATGGTTCCTCAGAGTCTACACCGGGCGGCTGGAAGCCAAGTTTCCCTCACTCCAGCTTGCCCACACTTTGGCCTCTCCGGCATCTTCGAAGGGCGGGCAAGCGAGTCTCGGGAGGAGGAGGAGGACAGCGGCCAGTCAGGCTGCCGGCTCCACAGGCACTGCCCAGTCCCTTCTTCGCTCCGCCCCTGGGCCAATACCTCCGCACCGCCAAGGGTGCGGGCCGCCTCCCGGGTGACTCCTCAGGGACCCGGTTCGCCGCCATTCCCACGAAACTACTCAACCTAGCCGCGCCCGGCTGGGTCAGACAAGAAGGCGACTAAAACCCGGGAATGAGGTCCGGAGCGCATGCGCACACCAGGCCGCGGGGGGCTAAGGGCTCGGCCCGGAGCGGCTGCCGCTAGGTGGCGCATGCGCCCTGGAGGGTGCGGGCTGGTCTCCGGGAAGAAGGCGGCGGCGGCGGCAGCGAAAGGCGGGGGCGCCGTGGGGGCCGGGCTGTGTTTACACAGCGGCGGGCGAGCGCGGACACAGAACCCGGCGCGGCGGCGGCACGATGGTCATGGCGCATTTCGTCGAGAATTTCTGGGTAAGAGGAAGATACTGGGAGCTGTGTGAGCTGAGGCGTCCGAGGCTTTCTACGCTTGACCTCGGCCTGCGTGCGTTGCGGGCGGCGGCGCTGGCGGCGGCGGCGGCGGCTCCGCGGGC